TAATAATTTAGCAACAATTTATTAGGATATAAACCTAATTACTTTAATATCATAAAAATTTATTTAAAAAAAACATATTTTTGTATTTAAAATAATAAAATCTAAGCTAAGAATAAACTAAAAAAAATATTTATTAAAAAAATAAACAAAAATTAAATGAAAAAAGAAAAAAATCTCCACAGCCCCACGACTCGGACTCGAACTCGGCTCTCTCAATTGGCAGTCTAGTGCTTTGCACACTCGGCCATTGCGCCTGATGGGGTAGCGTGAGCAAAATTACATACATAAGGGTGTGTTCAGTAATGCAGTATAATGCGCATACTGCTTTTGCAGGACCAGCAGAACGTTCAGAAATGCTAATATGGCAGCACTGCAAATGTCGAGCGTTCTAAAACGCCATTTTTCTATCAAGCGTCGCTCATCATTTGCATAAAAAAAAATTACACTGCCGCTGATTACGCTTGTACCATGTCGGAAGAAAAGTGAGTACAAAACTAATTTTTTGTAATTTTTACAATGAAAATTTGTTAAACGTATAGTTTTGAAACAATCTTATATTATATTTTTATTATTTTCAGCGAAAATCTTAGTACGGCTGAAGTTAAGTTGCTGCTTAGAGTTCGATTAAATATGGAAGACGAATTTGCATCTGGAAGGAGAAAAAAGAGCGTTCTATGGAATAAGGTGGTGGAAGAAGTAAAAAAAATCAACAGAGACATTAACATAGACAGACACATTGCACAAAGAAAATTTTTAAATATGCTGGTATCGTATAAACGTATAAAAAGCGCAATAATTCCTCCGGTAGGGAAGCAACATCTTGGCTATATTTTGAAGATTTTGACGAGCTGTATGGTACCAGGCACTCCATCAATCCTCCGCCACAAAATCTGCAAGCGTCGTTGGAGCTACCATCGTCGCCGCCATTAGAAGAAGGTAATGTTGAGCCACCCAATTCTCCACCGACTTCAAGTCGTAGAGCACCACATCCTCGGAGAAACCCAAACAGCGAAATATTAAAGTTTTTTGAAGAAGAAGCTATTAAAGAGCAAACCCGACATGACGAAGCAATGGCTGTGGAGAGGGAGAAACTTTCACTGGAGAAAGAGCGAATCCAAGCGTTGCTGGAATTCAAATCAATATTGAACCGATGTCTGCAAAAGTAGATTTTGAATTTATTTTTTATTAGTCATAAGATGAAGCTGTGAAATGTACCTTTTTAACCTTTCTAGATTGAAATCTTTTTTTATTTTTATTATTGAAACCATGTGATGTTAATTTAATATATTTTATTAAATTAAATTAAATGAAAATGAAGTCTAAAAAAACGATTTATTCCGTGTTCAGTAAGAAAATTTAGAAAAGTAACCTAATTAGATGGAAGTACATAAGTATATGTCTTCCATCTAGTAAACATCCAATTACGAAAGGAAACGGATTTTCTCTGCTGTTTTCAAAATTCGTCATGAGAGTTTGCTGATATTCAACAGATTGCCATTTAATTTCGCTTTTCAAATTACAAATGGCTTTGATTGTTTTGATGAACAGAGAGTACGCTGTTCCCCTCGCAATGTTGAAACGATCCGAAAACTGGCGGAAGGTGCCCCTGCTATTGCATAGCTTCCATAACGTTACGTATAGACATTTTTCTAATGAATGACCACAGCGGCCAAACCTTGCAGTTACCCAAGTTGGAGACAAAGCGTCTTTCAAAGCCTTAATTAAAATAACTTTGATTAGAAAATACTACTTGTGCTAAAACATGTAAAAACTTACATTGAAAGTGGACCAATTCATCCGAAAATGAGAATAAAATATGTCCTCGGGAAAGGCTTTTATTGTTTTAAAAAATGTCTCTTTTTAAGGTATTTTTCGCTTTAGCGATAGCCTTTTAATAAGAAATCTTCTTCTTTTAAACTTTAAAAGTTTTCTTTTTCTTGAATTCAATAAAAAACTATCAGCTCTTGGCTCACAAATATCGTTCACTATTAAACTTAATAACACTTCCATGTTAGTAAAGAAGGTGTTCAAAAATGCAACAAACCTATTTGCAAATTGTCAACAATTCTATCAGCTGCATCAACCATCAAATCTGCAGTGCTGCCAACTCTGCAAATACTGCAAGTCTTAATGCATTACTGAACACACCCTATATGTCTGTTGTTTCCTTTGCACTAACTGATTTCGAATCAGCATTCCAAGCTGGCAACGATATTTTCGCGTTCACTCTGATTCAGTGATAGCAATTTTTTCGTATTCGTAGCGGGCATTTGAATTCGTAGATTTTCTACGATGGATTCCGTGATAGCCCTGAATATACACACCGCTTTTTAAAAAGTTAGTAAAAACGAGTACAATAATAAAAACACCTTTTTTATGTAACTCCACATTTTATGTACGTATGTACATAAATCTATTAATGTTATATAAAAAGAATACATTGTATTCAGTGCATTCCACAGTCTTAGATAATGAAAACAAAAACGCCTGGACTTCCTCTTTGAAAACCTGCGCAATATCCTTTTTGGTTGCCATTATTTGAGCCAATTTTTCGTATTGCTGCTCTCGAAAACACAGAAATCGAGAAAATTCATTTATGATGTCTTTTACAATCATGCACGGTATATTTTACTTAATTTTTTTAATAAAATTTTAATTTTTTTTTGGCCTTTATAACAATTATATTCAACAATTTATATTGAGCTCGAGGCCGTTTTAAATGAAAATTTTATGGTGAAAAGCAACAATAATTTGAAAAAATGGCAGAAGTGATAGCTATTTCGGAAATCACCACATTTCCTCATCAGACTTCTTTCAGTAGGATTCGAACCGACGATCCCACTGACT